AAAAGTCCAATCCAGTAATTCAAGACGCGTCTCTGAAGGGGTGGTCGTGAGACGCGCGATTATCCATTCAGAAGCCCAGCAACTGACGAAAGACCAATAACCAATGCTTTTGAATGGATGATCGAACAATTAAGAAGCTGATAAAATGAAACATATATACAGCCACTGCATAACTCAGTTCCATCGCTCAATGTAATTTTTTCCTCTCTCCGTTTTCAAACTAAACGATTTCATTGGTGCTATCTCAAAGGAGTGTAAATCCCAGTTTCCCAAGTGTAAACAAACAAGACACGTCCCGGATCTACAAACGCGAGCACACAAAGGGGTTAAATTGAACGTGGAGTCTTCTTACAACGCCAGAATGTATAGCCGTAATAAGCCAAAATACGCAATTACGTGCATTATTCTGGACCGGTTTGCCTGCTGGTCTCGCTATTTGGGCCACATCAAATAAACAAATCCTGTTTCGGGTAATTGTTGTTTTACCTGTCTGAGCGACATTCTCGTGATTCCGCTTTTATATAATTACCTCCTGCTGCCATCACACTGTTCACGTTTTCAAAAGTTCACACGCCTGAAGCCTTCATTCTGTTACTGCCTTGTTTATTGCATTCTTTCACTCCTTTGTTTGGAATATCACATACACAATGGCCACTGCCGAATTGCCCACCGTGGCCACTAGAACTTCCAGTTCCTCAACAACGATCATTTCGGAGCCTGCCTCTTCCAAGTCGCTACCTCCTCTTTCCTCGCTACTGCAGTCAATTGGACAGTCAGTCTCAGCACCAACTTCACCAACCAAACGCGGAAGCACAGATCTGCTTATAAATAAGCTCAAGTCGGCCTCCTATTCGGGATCCTCAGCGAGCGACGCGACAACAACCTCGACATCTCTTTCACAACAAACAGCATTGCCATTACCACCAGCATTGACATCTTCCTTGTCTCCTTCTTCATCCTCCTCATCATCGCATGCTCTGGACCCTCTATACAGAACACCGGCGAGACCAGTCTCGTTTCTGCCAAACTCTTCCAACTCATCGCCTTCAGGGCCTCCTACTGGCGTGTTTAAGGACAAGTCGTCCCCAGCAACGGGCAACAAGCTATTGCAAACCGCCGAGAAGAAGAAGCAGTCGTTCTCATTTATCTCGCATTCTCCAGCGACTTTTCCCATCCAAGACTCGAACTCGGAGGATGGGTCTACGGGTAGGAGGAAGCGCAGAAGAACGTCACCAGCCGAGCTGGCTATGCTCAAGTCTGAGTACGAGATTGGAAACACCCCAAACAAGGCCAGAAGAACGGAGATCGCTACCAGACTGGGCATGACCGAAAAGGCGGTCCAGATCTGGTTCCAGAACAGAAGGCAGTCCATGAGAAGGAAATCCCACAACGATCCGGACATTGTTGTTGAGATACCAGAGATCCCAGCCGCTTCAGCCGCGGCCCCAAGTTCTTCCACAACATTCCAGATGTCGCATACACCACGTATCGAGGTGGCCAGTCCAACAACTAGTCCAGAGAAGTCTGAGGAATCGTCTCCTATACGCGTAACGCGCATTGATGACTCCCCCAGTTCGTCGTTCTACGGCCAGACACCCCAGACTATGCAGCACTCCAGTTCTCCTGACCGCCATGCAAGCTTCAAGGTCACAGGTGTTACCCATACTCTCAACCTGTCTTCTCCAAACGTGCCCATGATGCCCCCACGCGCGACATGGGCTCCAAGCATGATCACCACTCCTTCCAGATCTAAGCACGAGAATCCTAACAATGTGACTCCGGTGAGATCGTCGTACCCTTCGTCGTCAGCCCAAGGCTCCACCATGACGTTCAGACTGGGAAACTCCACGAAGAAAACAGCCGGTTTGTTGACTCCGTTGGAGAGCACAACTCGCAAGAACAAACGCCCTACCTGGAAGGTCAATGCTAGCGCAGCTCTCGGTCACAAGGAAATCTCTACAAGCGTTTTTGCCAGTGTGGATACTCCTTCCAAGACCAAAAAGGCCAAGCTGTTTGTTCAGGAGGAGAACACCTTCAACATATACCACGACAAAGACCAAAAGAGCGTTACCTCCAGCCTGAAGTCTTCCAATGCGTTGCAGGTCAAAGACGAAAACGTCAAGGTAGTCACCGAAGCAAAGGAGAAGCCAGACACTTCAGATATCGAGTGTGTGGAGAACCTGTTGGCATTGAGAGCCGCACCCTCCAGAAGAGCTAACTAGACGAACCTAATTGAGCACTCAGGAGATCTTTACGATTTTACGAATATACAGAACATTAAAAATGTGAAGGATGAAACAGATAAAATATAAAATTGTATATGAACGCAGTTCCACTACAGGCTACCACAGGCACATAGGCCGGAATATGGGAGTAAGCAGGCTCAGCATAACTGGTATGGATGGAGCCACGTCCAGAAACCACAGATCGCCATTCAGTATTCCTACAAATCAATAACAGTCTTTTAATTTTTAATTATGTTCAACGTTATACAACCAGTTTAGATTCTCTTACCACGACGACCGGTAGTCTTGGTGTGTTGACCTCTAACACGCAAACCCCAGTTGTGACGGAGACCACGGTGGGCTCTGATCTTCTTCAATCTCTCCAAATCGTCACGGAGCTTGGACTCCAAGTTGTTGGCCAAGACGTGGTAGTCCTTACCGTCAACGACGTCCTTTTGTCTGTTCAAGAACCAGGCTGGGATCTTGTACTTGGTTGGCTCTTGCATGATGGTGACAATTCTCTCCAACTCTTCCTGGGTCAATTCACCAGCTCTCTTGCTGAGATCAACATCGGCCATCTTGCAGACCAAGTTGGAGTAACGACGACCGACACCACGGATAGTGGTCAAGGCGTACATAATCTTGATTCTACCATCAACGTTGGTGTTAAGCAAACTGGAATAAAAGTTAGTAAGCAGCTCAATGAATGATCGGTACTTCATCCGCTTTTATCGCTTGGTCGATATCCGTGACGGTAGAGAGGACAGACCGAAACTTTCGGAGGTCGTAGGATTTTTCAATCTCAATAATACCTCGAAATTTTCAGCATAGTTCTGATAGTAACGGTCTATCCTGAAGAGATCCAACAAGTAGTCAAACGAGACACTTCACTTGGAGCGTTTGGCTCGATTTCTCTCGTGTGTTCCCTCTAACACGGGCTTGTTCAACTTTTCATCTCTTGACTCTTCCAATCATATCTTCCAACTAAGACGGCGGTACAACGAATAAACAGGCTGAAATAAACATACCGCAAGATGTGTTGGAATGAACCCTGTTCTTGAATAACCAAAGACATATTTGATGTATGTTTTATCGAACTATGAAAGATTCTTTGATGGTCTGAATATTTGCGCTGGTGTTGAAATCGTTAACAGGTTTTCTCCAAGTGTGAGGGCGACGAGGGTAGTGTCTCTGCCCAAACGCTAAGTTTGCCCATAGAAAATCCTAGTGCCCTCGTTTCCAGCCCTCCACCATGTCATGTGACTTAAAAGTCGTTTTCAAACCAATAATCGCTTATATAATATATTACCATGTTTTGTGACTCCGAATATAAGCAAGATTGTATACCGAATGTATGGTGTGTGGAAATGGCGTATCTCTTAGTGAGGGTAGTATCCCAGGCGTTAGACAGTCCGCTTCGCGTGATAAGTCAATCGCTGAGTAGTTATTGTTTCCATTTACTAGATGTTTTACTCATTTCGTAAGGCTCACTTGAATGCTATGCTATTGTATATACAGGCTGGTTATCGTTCTATTTCCCCAGTTCTTGAAATCTTCTTCTTGGAATAGTTCTCTTGGATTCTCAAACAAGACCCGCAGCAAACTCACTAGCAAAGTACTTTAAAGAAGAAGCGTCCATAAACACTCTGCGGGCCCTCAAGAGATCCTTAACTTCAACCTCCTCCTTGCTCAGAATCTTGACCTTTTGATTCAGCTCCTTAGCGGCCTCAGTGAGATTGGTAACTTCCTCCAAGTTATCCGCAACAAACAGGAGGTTCAAGTTCTGGAGCTGGTTAGCTGCAATAAACTGAAGCAGTGCCTGTTTCTGCGTTGTGACAATATCCAGACTGAAGGAATCCGTTGCCAATCTTGGAGCTTCGACATCCTTGCTCCTTCCAATCACAAAAAGATTTCCGTTTCTGTAAAAGTCACTCAACGCGATTCTGTAGGCAGACGCATAAACGTTATAAGGCAACTTAGTGGAGAAGTCGTTAGGAGCGGATCTGGCATGGGCCACGGACCCGTTGTGTCTGATTGGTGAGTTGGCATCACCAACACGAGCTCTTCCTGAACCCTTTTGAGGAGCCAACTTCCTTCTTGAGAACCCGCGCTCGGAACGACCCATTGGGTTGGAAGCACCCACTCTTCTGTTATCCAGCTCCATTATCACGGCCTTCCAAAGCAGGTCTCTTCTCAGGCGGCTATTCAAAAACTTGGCATGAACCGGTATCACCGAATGTGGCTCAAGCGAAGGAAACGATCTGAGAGTTGTCAAAACCCATTTTGGTGGCTGCGCTGCGTGTTTAAGTATGTGCGTTGTTGGTGCCGATGTGGTGGTCGAGGCCGTTGCGTACGAGGCCCTCTGGACCAGTACTCTGTAGACACTTTGGACTGTTGACCTGGCAAGCATGGCTCTGTGAATATTAACACGAGACTAATCGCAAAATAAACTGAAGTGCAGACGGATCTACTTCAACTCGTATCCTCTTGTCACCCATTGGAGCATCGACTTTCGACTGGCATGAAAAATCGTCGAAGGTAGTGCTCAACCCAAAGTTCCGAATGCAGATTAACTGCGTTTGGTCTGCACCAAGTTTCCAATGAAGGACTAATTGTGGAGTATGATCTGGCGAGTTCTGATGATTGCTTGAGATTTCTGGAGCTAGAGATTTGAAGCTGAAGTAGTAATATTGATTGGCATGTTTTAGAATTGTTTTATGATTACTAATCGCACTATAACTGGTACTCGTAGCAGAATGCGGAGTTATGCATGGCTGATCTTCCGTTCACTCCGGTGGTAACAAATGATTACATTGTGAGTCTAAACGGAATCCTTGGGAAAACAGCCGTAAAATGTTCTTTTATTGCCAACTAGTAGTCTTGATTACATTGTGGAGAAATTGATGTGGCTTCTTATAATCGCTCACGATGAGCTGCACTATCTAAGCTTGGCATATTGCGTCAGATCCAGCGCGCTGACTAACCCCTTCGCCTATAAATGTTGAATATTTCTAACATTTGAAGGAAGAGGGAAAGGAAAAGGAAAAGAAGAAGAAGAAGAGAAAGGCCGCACTTTCTAGTCTCTTGTGAAATTATTTCTGATAAAATTTTCAATTCGTACTAACCATGACTACCGCCGTTCTTGTAACAGGGGCTTCTGGCTTTATCGCCCTGCATATCGTGGACCAACTTCTATCGCAGGGCTATTCGGTGGTAGGCACAGTGAGAACCAAGGAAAAAGGGGACTATGTGTACTCTCAATTCAGCGCGAAATACAAGAATCCAAAGCTGACGCTTGAATACGTCAAAGATATTGCGGAATTAGATGCATTTGACAATGCAGTGAAAAATCACCCCGAGGTGGAGTTCGTTTTGCACACAGCATCGCCAGTGCATTCCACTACGGATGGAACCCCCGAGGAACTTTTCATTAATCCGGCTGTGAATGGCACTGTTGGGATTCTGAAGGCTGTTGAAAAGTATGCTCCACAGGTAAAGCATGTTGTTATGACATCATCGTTTGCGACCGTTCGGAATGCTGATAAGGCTGGCGATAAGAGTTTCAAGCATACGGAGGAAACGTGGAATCCAATCACTAGAGCAGACCTTAACGGTGATGTGATGCCATCCTATTCTCTATCTAAGACTCTGGCTGAAAAGGCTGCCCGTGAGTTAGTGGCTTCGACTAGTGCGAACTTCACGTTCCACACCGTGAACCCTCCCTTTGTCTACGGACCCCAGCTTTTCGAGGCATCAATCGCCAATCCAGAGCTCAACTTTTCAGCAGAGAAAGTCAAGTCTGTCCTTCACTTACCTGCTGACTCGAAAGGTCCCTTTGACAACCCGCAAGTTCTGACAATTGATGTGAGAGACGTTGCACGTGCCCACATCGCTGCGCTATCGGACCCTGCCAAGTTCGCTAATAAAAGGTTACTTCCCACAGTGGGAAGGTCGAATCCTCAGAGAGTACTGGACACAATCAGACTGAAGTTCCCTGAACTAAGGGAGAAACTCCCAGTTGGAGATCCAGCAAGAGGCGAGAAGGAAAGGGAAGCCAAAGGTTTCTATTATGATAACTCTAAGACTCGCGAATTGTTGGGATTCGAGTTCATTCCGTATGAAACAACAATCTATGACTCTGTGAAGCAGATTCTTGATTATGAAGAGGCCCAAGTTTAGTATTTCCTTCTCGTTACTCGCTTTTTTTAAAATTTCTACAATCTACAATTGATTGTAAACTGTTACAAGAATGTGGAGCAAGAAACCCAAGATGGAATGATAGCAAAGTAAACGTGAGAACTCATAAGCAACAAAAACAAGATATAAAGTTATAAAAGAGAAATCGTTCATCATCAACCCTGTTGTTTTTCTAGTGTTTTTTTGTCTTTTCATGATATATAACAAAGCCATCTATACTTTCCTTTTTTTTCCGACCTGACTCTCCTTGGTCTTTCCGAAGACCTTTTTGACGTAAAAACAGTGTAGTAATCGTAAACCAGGGTATAGCAAAGTGTATAGCAAATAAGATAAGAGGGGAGAGAGAGAGAGAGAGAGAGAGAGAGAGCTCTGGGAAAAAAGCGCTTAAGGTAAGCTCAAAATCTGGGTCAGAACTTCAGACGAAGGGTGGTAATAACAAATTAACATGGCGATTGTCCCATGACCAACGTCCCACGACGAAGGCTCAGTGCATCAGTTTGCCCATAACCTTCGCCGAGCCCGAGTTCTTTCTAGACCCTTGACTGTTTCCTCCCGTGGAAGGAGGAGAAAGGGGAAACATCCTTGGAACGACATTTGCCGGAACATCCAAGTCTGACCCCAGACCAAAGTTCTTCATATGCTTGGTCATCATAGATGCCGGTGGCTGGTCCAGTTGATGTTGGTAATTAACAGCACACATCCAGATCCTTGTCTTGTAAATTCTGAATAGTTCTTTGACCAGATCTCTAAAGTCGATACGATGATCGGCACAATAATAAAATGTCAGCTTCCTTCTGTCCCATTGGTACTCCGCATCAACCACCTGCATGGACAGCCCGTGAGCCTTCACCTTCATGGAGCACACCTGTTTAGCCTTTTCTTCATCAGACTGTTTGCTTTGAAGTTGTGAGACTTCATTGGCGTAGGCAAACCTAACCAGGGGTTTGGGGTAATGTAGAGACGGAGGTGGAGATGCCTGTGAGGCAGAGAGATTGACCGCATTGAGAGGAGGAGAGTTGCCTGGTCCATTCAGAGACAACGCAGACTGTTGCTCCTGATGCTGGCGTAACTTCAACAGTCTTGCCTCGTCTATGGAAACATCTAGCCGAACAACCTTACCAAGATCGGTGCCACGGTCGGCCTCAACCAGAACAAAATCGCCAATCTTGAGGTTATGACATGTGTTCTCTGGATGATAAAACACATCGACTCTGCCTGCTTTGAAGGAAACCAATGCCAATTGCACTCCTGGAAGAGTATTCCCAGGAAACTTTGGAAGATGAACTCCAACCTGGTTCAAAGCAGCCAAAGCACTGGGCAAATCAACTGCGCTTTTTCCGGTTACATGTACTCTGTTGGCACGCTCTGTGAAGTAGGAGTCAGCATCAGAATAGACCTGGTCCTGCTCCCTTAAGAGGTCTTGAACAGCACCAGGAGAAGAGCCACGATATAATCTTTGCTGTCCAAATGCAGCGGAATTTTGGTTCTGCTGTTGCTGGGAATGGAACTGTTGCTGCTGGACCTGGTTCTGGTGCTGATGGGAGATGGTTGGATTGGTGATTCCCAGTCCACTTCCAAAGTTCTCGGTTAGCCATTGGTTATCGCCAACAGCAGCATATGAGTGGCGTCTTGAAGGGGGAACAAACTCATTTATAGGGAATGCATTCTGGGGAGAGTCCCAGGGAGACCCGTTTGTGGCTTGGGTTGCCACTGAACCTGCGGAAGCAAGGTTCGAAGTAGCGTTTGATGGCACCGGACCGGAAAAAGAGGACTTCCCATGGTGATTTAACGATCCCAACAAGTTGCTGGCTTGTGACAGTCTAGGAGAAAGGGGGTCTGAGGACCATATTGAGCCCTCGTTCAGAACACCGGAATCAGCAGCATAGGAGGCCCTTCTGCTATTGAACCCAAAACCAGAATAAGAAGCCCCCTGGGGTTCATAAGTCACTGGAAAGAAGTTCGAGTTCGAACCCGCGTTCGAACCCAATGCACCGGCACTCAAAGGGAGTTCTCCGTTCATACAGGGAAGAGACGAAATCGAACCACCCGAGCTTCTGTTGGAAGGAGTCCATATCGTAGACAACTCATATGGATTCAAAGTAACATCTGATTGGTCGATCCTGCTGTGTGGCCCTTGGATTTCGTTCCCGTTTCCGAGGGAATTTGCCCTTGTTGGCATACGTTGCTGGTTATGTTGCTCTTGATCTGTAGAAAGTCTTTGATCCATCAAGGGGGCAGTGGCGGCTAATCTTGGATCCTGTAAAGTAAAATTGTTGTTCATGTATCCCAAGAGAATTATCAAGCAAAATAAATCTAGAATCTGCGCTCTGAAAGGTTCGGACTGGTTTGACTCCAGAAGTGGCTTGACAGGGTCAGACTAACAATAGGGCTCCAAAAACGAAAACGCAACACTATTTCTTGAGGTTTCCACAGAGTGCCACTGATTGCTTTCAGATGTAAAATAAGGAAATAAAAGTCCAATTAATTATCCGAATGAATGCCCAAAAGACCCCTCCGTAATATCTAGCGGAAAGAAAGAAGAAGAAGAAGGAAAAGAAGAAGAAGCACCTTTTAGTTATCTGGCAGGCCCACCAGAAGAATTATTGGCAAATCGTGCGGTTGCGAGAGGAGTTTGGCGGAATCAGCACAGGACCCCGATGTGTCAAACAGAAGCGGCAATTGCAGGAATTGGAGCCCAGGTTTGGGAGGTGTATACGCCCCCCTGAACAGAGCCGTTATTTTGTGTTAAGTCGGGCTACATGTGCGCAAGAATTAAGATTAACCCACCCTGCGATGACCAACAAGGGGGAGGGGGAAGCTGGACTTTCTTATGGCAAAGTTTTACAGTTCTCCGAGGCCAAATATGTAGGGCAGCCGGGGCTGCGTTACTCTGTGCCATGCCAATTTAAATCAGTGGGCTGGGCCCTTCTGGTGACCCCATATTCGGATTGTTAGAGATGACATTTTTTGGCGTCACATGATCCGGACCCCGCTAAGTAGCCGTTACGTCATCCGTGGGGACACGACGCTTGCCTGCGCCAGACGGCGTGTAGCCGGGTAGTGATCGCTTATCTTTGGTCATTCGGATTGGATATGGTTGGGGTCTACACTAGAGTACACATCATTGGCCCCACTTGCAGCCCAATGGGCCTACACCATCAGCTACACCGTGAGCTCCTTCTGCCTCTGGTCTATCACCTCTTTGAGGCACTTGGTCTTGGCCTTCTTGCTCTTCCAGTGGGCTGCCAGCCCGTCCTTCCTCTTAAACTTCTTATTGCACCCCCATCTCTCGCCCCTCTCGTTCACGCCCGAACATCGATATAACACCTTGTCTCCGCCGTGCTGGATCGTCTCATGCCGTTTCTGGTCCGAGTACCGCGCAAACCGCTGCTCGCAGAAGGAGCATGCGAACGGCTTCTGCCCCGCGTGTTTTGAGTTCTTGTGCGATTTTAGATTCATTCTCCGCGAGAATCTCTTCTCACAGGCATCGCAAATGAACACTTGCGGCTCCGATCTGACTGGCTTGGGGACACGGCCCATGGCTATGTCGGCAGCCTTTCTGTTCCACTCCTCTGGGTCTGCCGGTGTTGGTATAGAAATAGTTCCAGATGTACTAGAAGAACTGGCTGCACCAGACAAAACCGATTCTGTAGCTATCGCGGCGCCTACGCCCACGTTAGGAGTCACAGCATTAACAAGGCTTCCGGTGCCAAACGACGAGGCTTCAAACTGATTCTCTGGCGGCGGGAGTAGCCTGTTCAGTCCATTCTGTCTGATCATGAACTCAGCATATTGTGATGTCGGGGGACTGGACTGTATGTGTGTCACTGGTGAGTTCGCCGCGGAGTTTGTTGTCTGTTCCGATCTTTGTAGCCCCCATGACATTCCACTATTCACAGAGATTACCGACGAAAATGGTGCGGGGTTTAAAATGTTTGGCAAGCCAGTCTTGATTTCTGCTTGGGGCGAGGAACTGGCCTCGTATTTCAGCCGTGTATCTGCGTTCTCGTATGTCATCTTCATCGTCTAGTACACCAGAGGCTTTAATGCCCTGTATCAAAAAGTCGTGAAGCGCTAGCAAATATACACGTATCCTATTCACTAGGTACCAAAGAGACGATTCGAGAATTTTGTAGTGTCCAATTTCGTGTTGACGTTGCACAAACCTAACCGGACTCTGAGTAAGGGATCACGTTGTAGTGTACGATATAATCACGCACTCCCTCAAACCACTAGCGATTGAACCAATTGAAAAAAAAAATAAAAAAGCAATAAAGAAATAAGCACACAACCTCCAGATATGTCCCAACGACAAACTTCAACAAACGCGAAGAGTCACCGATAGAAGAAGTGGTCTCCTTCAGAGGAAAAGGTACTAGGACCTTGCACAGCCTAGATGAATTCGTGGGATTTTTGTAGAGGACACACGACGTGTTGACATTTCGTCGTGCACCACACCAATTTGAAATATATTTTTGAATCCAATAAATTTTCAGTGAGGCTCTTTCAACAAGACATTTGGAAGAGTAAACAAAACACACCAGGAAATGTCGGAAAAAGTTAGATACTACTTGGAGCAGTCTATTCCTGAGCTGGAGGATCTTCAGAGAAAGGGACTTTTCGAGAAGAAGGAAATAACGATGATCATGAGGAGGAGAACAGACTTCGAGCACCGTGTCACGGGCAGAGGAACAAAGCAGGCTGATTTCCTGAACTATGTGGAATTCGAGAAGAACACAGAAAAGCTAAGAAAAAAGAGATACACACGATTGGCCAAGGCGAACCTCATAGACACCAAACCTTCCATCTCGGACTGGGCTAGTCAGAGAAGGATCCTTTTTGTGTTTGACAGAGCCATCAGAAGGTTTCCCGGTGATAATAAGTTGTGGCTTGCATATTTGAAATACGCCAAAGCCAACGGATCAGTAAAGGTAATTTACAAGATCTACACCAAGCTGTTGCAATTGCAGCCAAGAAATGTGGATGCCTGGATCAGTGCTGCCAAGTACGAGTTTGAGCAGAACACCAACGCCAAAGGAGCCAGAGTGCTTCTTCAGAAAGGTCTGAGATTCAATTCAGACTCCCAGAAGTTGTGGCTGAATTACGCCAAATTTGAGTTAGTGTATGTCACAAAGCTTTTAGCAAGAAGAAAGTTACTGAGTCTGATGACCGAGCAACAGCAACGTGAAGACGCCAAGACTGAGCAGGAGGCCACCAAGGGCGATCTGAACGACGATGAGATTATGCTTCCTGACTTTGAGGTCAAAGATAGTCTGAATAGTCTGCCTGAGGTTGACATGAACATGCTGGGTAATCCAGAGACAAACCCGGCTCTGCGTGGAGAAATCGCACTCACCATATTCGACATAGCAATGAAGACGTTGGTGGATCAGGTTCCTAAGGATGCTACCATTGTCACGAGGGAATCCAAGACCTTGGAAGTTGCCAATGACTTTCTGACGCTTTTTGACCAGTTTGAGAGTCTTGATAGACATAACTTGTGTGGTCACGTAATTCGTTACTTGAGCTCAGAGCTTTCCTCCAATGGAAAAGTCATTCTTCTGGAAATCACTCTTCCAATGAGATATGTCACCATTACAGATTCTGCTTTCGTGGATAAGTTGCAGCAATCGGTGAATTTGCTGTTGAAATATAAACCCAGGTGGGGTCGCAATTTACAAGACGAGGTGACCGAGGGATTTGTGGCATACATCCAACGGTTTACTCAAGATACAAATTCTGAGAGGTTACAAAAACTGCTACAAACCATCGTTACAAGGTGTCGTCAAGCTTAAGAAATGATTAATGCCTTACTCGTGCTTCAGTGCAATGCTGCCTTCAGTCTCTCTTGGAGATTCCACCCTCGGTACCCAATCTTACCTGGTATCCCCGTGCTGCCTTGAGGTTCAAATAAGCATGTGTCACAACAACACTCAGTGCACATGTGACAGTCATCGTGATGAAAATATAGAACGCAGGACCTATGGGACTTTGGCGTGGAAGCCTGTAAAAGCCATCTGCATAGGGTAGTCCGTTTAACTTCTTGTTGGCACTGGATTGTCTTACCCACCTAGTAGATATGTGTAGCGGGAGCTCATCTCCTATAACCACCCTGGTGGTGTTTGTGCTTGAAGACCAGGCAACAGAACTGACGATACCTCCGTATCCATGTGGTAGCACACTAAGCACATTCACACTTGGATCAACATCAATGTGCGATTCAGCAACATGGCCACGCAAATTGAACGTAAGCGGCACAAACAATTCAGCCTTATCTCCGACAGGGATTTTGCACGAGAAAGGCGCATCTTCGTGAACGTAGTACTGGAACAAATGGTACTGTTCATCGGGCAGGCTTATGGTGCACACGAAATCCTCGTCTGTCTCATACTTAAGGGCCATGCTCTTACCCGTCTCCTTGCAACTTGGAAATAACTCAAACAGAATATTTCCCTTAGAATCGGATATGTGCTCTCCCGAATCAATGTTTCTTTTCATACATTGTATTGGAACCTGGTCTCCAGACGAGTAGGGTGGTGGGTTGAACACGGCCTCTTCTTCGGCATTCAAGGGGTACCATTTGGAGTGCGCAATCGCCAACGACGAGAACAAAGGCACAAGCAACAGGGAAGACTTCATGGTGGATAAAATTTTATAAAATTTCCAGCTCAATCAACATGAAATTCAAGCCAGTGTGGACTGTGATTGAACCCGTGTTGCTAAGAAGAATATCAAGCCAGTCTGGCAAATGCACGAAAAGGCGATGACCTCATCGCCTGGATCAACTGGCAGATATCGGCTACTTCTTATATAAGCTGAATCGTGAATATGTTCAAGTTGTCGTTATTCATTATGAAGTGGCATTACACCATTTTTGTTGGACGAAAAACTCATATATCTTGGATGTTTTGTTCACATCGATCTTCAGCAGTTCTCTTGCAGTCCTTTTCTTCAACACCCCGCCTGTCCTCAACAGCTCTCTGAACAGCAGCTCCTTGATGACGAGATACGGCTTAGGGTAAATTCTCAGTGTAGAACACAGGATTCTTTCGTCGTTTGACAAAAGTTCATAATCGGCAGCATGTGAAATATCCAAAGGCACAATGTTCTTGGTGGTTCTCTTGGCGATTTCGCCATTCAGGCTTGGGGCTGGAGATCCAGTGTGGGACATGATCCGACCTCTCATTCCAGCAGAAGCCATCGAGTTGGCAGTGTGACGAGAAGCACCCGAACTTCCAAACCCAATCTTTTGCAACAGTGCCTGTCTTGCGATTTTGTCCTTTTCGTATTTGGAGCCCTGCTCCATGTTGGTGATTCCGTTTGCGCGCCATTCCTGAAGCTGCTGGATCTTGGCCCTGCACCTCAATTCAGCCAACATGTCTTCACTGAACTCTTCAAAATCTTTGGTAGTCATTACACGCGCAAATGCCTTGATTTTGGTGTAAAGCTCTTTCTCTTCCTTCGACTTCTTCTTGTCGTTGGCTATGTTCTTTCTGTACTCCAGAAGGCCGTCCTGTAGCATGAGTCTCTTGCGCTCAGCTCTCATTGTTAGCTTGGAGTTGTAAATATCGAGAATTGTGAGTTTCAACTCGTTGTCCTGGGGAGGATCATCTGGGTCAAACACCATATCCGCCACATTCTTCTCTGCTTCGTCGTCGGCCTCTTCCTCGAACTCAAGTCTACCAGGCATGTACTTTTGGATATCGGAACATAGAGGAACCGACGACAGTGGCTTCTTCGGAGGAGGCAACGGCAAGTTCTTCTTGCTTTCAATCCTCTGACGTCTTTTGTTCAAAAACTCGTCCGTAGTAACGTAGCTGAAGTCCAAGCCCAGATCTGGTATAGGGTAATCTGGGCTCTTGAGGTAAACATCTCTGTAATGCTTGCCCACTTCCTCCTTGCTCCTATCACCAATATGATCTGAAATGTCCAGCCAATTGCCCAATCCAAAAGTCTGGGCTCCCTCTATAAGTAAAAGCTCTTCGTCAGCACCCCAATCCTCGGAGAAAATCGGGTAGGCATGTTGTTCTATGATCTTGTAATCGTGCCATGGCTTGTGCTTCCCAGAAGATTCTCCACGTAGAAAACAGGGGACACACAAGTCATACTCCTGACAAATAGCACAGCGAATTCTGACTCTTCGTGTGCAATCAGACGAACAAACGTCACAGTGGAACTTAGCCATGATGTCGTGTTATTGATCGCGTCTAAGTAGCTTCCTAACTATGGGGCGAACTTATAGTTGACACCTTAGGTAGCAGCAAAGTTCGGACCAGCCTCACCGTGAAGAATATAACAACCACGTGAAAAATGAAGATGGAACTTCAATCGATTGGGAGAAAATGTAGGCCACTTTCCAGGATGCGCCGCTTATCTGGGGATGGACACATCATTGAGGCCACTTCCAGCGTATCGAAGAGTTCAACCATCTAAACATCGTGTATGAACCAACTGAAAATGGTTCGGTCCGAATTGGGTATCAATAATGAAATCTGGGAGGGTGAAAGGTTACGCTATGATGGACGGGGGCCAAGAAAAGGTTAAAGTAAGAACACATATCAGAGGAGTTGTAAATGATTATTAACGCGACAGTTTACCTTGGCAGCATGTGGTCCTCCCAGTGTTTTGAGGAAGGAGCCCATGTTCAGTCCCCTGACTACTCTTGGCTCAAAAAAAGAGCAGAGAGCCCACCGTGACTATGCACGGACAACTGCACGAATCCATATTATTTCTCGAAATATCCGGAGTTACCCAACTCCAGGCACCGAGCCAAATTCCAGACCTGCCATTCAAGAATATGAGCCGCACGCTGAGTATTCCATTGGTGGGAACACTACCTATGACTTTTGCAATTGCGCAGTCACAAATGAGTATCCAGATTACTTCTGGCCAGGCGTACATCTCATCACATAGTTGATTTCTTCATCCCATCTCCCCTCTAACAAGCCTGTCTGCCATTGAACTCCCGTGTTATTACGGTTGGTTTGGCACGCACACTCTGTTCGTCCTCTTGGAAAATTCAGTTCAAAGGAGGTTCAGATATCTTGTTTCGTAACCACGAACTACTAAAGACACATATAATCACATTTCAAAATGGTAAGTCTGGCTACAACCGATATGGTGTCGATGATGAAATTGAGAATTCCTCAGGGTTTAAGAAGTTGGAGAACTCTGTATGGCAATTTGAATGCTGGAGGTCGATAGCAGTGTGAGCCAACATGAACAGCTGAAAGTTTTTGTCAAAAACTGTGTACATTCTTGAGCAAGAGATCATCCGAAAAATGAAAGCATACCACTCAAGTCTCACAGATCAAAGCTTTTGCTGACTTGCAACTAAAAACAACCTAAGGACAAATGTTCAATTTTGCATCATCACCTCCACCACTACTAAGGCACAAAACTAACACATTTACTACAGGGTCGCGTTAGAACAAAGACAGTTAAGCGTGCTTCTAAGGTCTTGATCGAGAGATACTACCCTAAGTTGACCTTGGACTTCGAGACCAACAAGAGATTGACCTCTGAAATCGCCGTCATCCAATCCAAGCGTCTCAGAAACAAGATCGCTGGTTACACCACCCACTTGATGAAGCGTATTCAAAAGGGTCCAGTCAGAGGTATCTCCTTCAAGTTGCAAGAGGAGGAGAGAGAGCGTAAGGATCAATACGTTCCAGAGGTTTCTGCTTTGGACTTGACCAGAACTCACGGTCACTTGAACGTCGATGCTGACACCGAGAAGTTGGTCAAGTCTCTTGGCTTCAAGCTCCCATTGTCAGTTTCTGCTGTCACTGACCAAAGGGTGTCGAAGCGTTACAACAAGAGATCTTAAGTGGAGCAGATGCTTCTGAATAGTTTGAGATCTTTAATGTAATACACAACAAATACAAAAACACATTTCGTTATGGAATTGTAGATATGGAGTTGTCTGAGGTTATTCGGGCAGGACGCTATCTGTGCCTTAAATACCGCAGTGAGTAACCTGGGTTGGACTAGTCTGTCTAGGTGCGTGATCTCTGGCCTGCCTTCGTCTGCAACAAGACGGGACCTAGCATGAATCAGACCTACCACCACTAGGATGGAATCGACTTTCATAATACAGGGTAGTCAGATAGACCCTCTTGATCTGCATAATGATCCGGATATTGGTAAACATGTGAGTGGTATTCTGCGGCCCTTCCATTGGTTTTGTACTGATGTCCAATTGTCATCACTCTGCCTCAAACACCCTGGTAGTCTTAATCCATGAGCCATGATATGAAGAATTGAAATTCAGGAAGAATCAATCATCTGGGCTCGTCCTTTACTTTGAAGGGCATAATGAACTTGAGGGCAACTGACTAGAGAGCTCTAAGTGAACCCTTCTTCCTTGCAGGAATGGGGTTTTAAAGCCATTCCAGCTTATATTCTGGGTGAATCCTCCTCATAGAACAATAATAGACAGTAGTGACTTTGCTTCGACTGACTACTCAAGAACACTCATGTAAAAACCGAACCCTCCGACAAGCAGTTTTTGGAGGCTGCGTTTTACACTCCAGCCCCTTTCACAATTGTCAGCATGAACTAAACAAAGCGTCTCATCTAGAACAATCTGAGAAAGAAGGGTAGCCTTGAAATGAGATCTGTAACGTTATTGAGGGAACTGAAGCATACTCTCGGCTCGCTAGTTTTGAGTCTCCACCTCCAGAATTTGGTTCGCAGAGCCATAGTTCACCTGATACTCAGATATAAAAGTATCTTACTTCTTCTTGGTAAATCCCAACATTATAATACACATATTATTGTGATCACCAGGAACCTAGCGGCCACAATATCACAATATCACAAAGCGACCACAACACCTCAACATGTGGTGCTGCCAGTATATGCCGTGTCAACTGCCCACCCGAGTGTCAAGTACCTTCAAGTGAGCCCATCGTGCGGCTGGTCGGCTTCTGAGACAAAGCAAAAACCAGGCAGTGTTCGCCCATTTCAGGCTCGCCCTTTGGCTTCTTTCTGTGAAATATTTCATCTGAAGTCATTTTGGAAACAATATACATAGGCTTAATTAGTTTTATGCCCTTTTAATTTCTCGGTTGTAAACCTCTTTTGGGTCAAAAAACCCGTAGCCTCAATCCCGGAAAAATATGCAGCCCTAATGCCGATGATCTAATCGATTAGTAAACTCGCGAGTGGGCCCTTATGCAAAATGCTTAGAATGTACCGGGTGTATAAAATTTTCCCATGTTTTAAACGATATTCTGTTGGCACCACTCCGTTTTTTTTTTTCATTTAATATCTTTCACTTGATCTCTATTCCTTATTTATAATTCTTTCTCGCAATTCCTGGTGATCAAAAACTGCACGCCAAGATGGTTCTTTCAGGTGAAACCGAACTGCCTCTACAGAAAGATGAGAAGGATGCTCTGGAGTTGCAAGGACTGGTTGAGGCTCAACGGCACTTGATGATAGACCCAGAAAAGAGGCCGGCACAGTTCAAGACGTTTTTTCAGGAGCTACTTTGTTTAGGCACATTGGTGTTTGCGCCGGCTGCTGCATCCATGTCTCAAACAGCATACCAGATTTCTCTTAACAAGGTGAGTGAGGAGTTCAACGTAACGGGAGGATTGCTTACGTGGGCGGTTACTTCCATTTCGCTTGCCAATGGGTCAGTTCTGCTGTTTATGGGAGGGTTGGCTGATGGTATAGGAAGAAAAAATGCAATCGTGATAAGTTTCATTGCATATGCATTGTTTTCGCTTATTGGTGGTTTCATGCACAACTTTGTCGCTCTGTGTATCATGAGAGCTATCCAGGGCATGTTTGTAGCTGGTGCAGTTCCAGCCGGTGCTGCTGTTGTCGGAACCTCTTACATGGCCGGAAAGAGGAAAAATAAGGCTATGGCTTGTTTTGCAGCAGGAGCTCCTATTGGAGCCGTCTTGGGGTTTGTGGTTGGTGGTGTCTGTTGCCAGGTCTTGAGTTGGAGAGCAGTTCAGTTTTTCTACACAATACTGTTTGGACTTCTGAGTATTACGGCTTATTTCAGTATTCCTAACGACAAGGTTATCACCATGAAAGCCATCAAGGAAACATTCAAGGACCTTGATTATGGTGGAACTTTGCTCTCTGTTGCTGGATTTGTGCTAATATGCTTTTCTTTGACCCAGGTTGATGCTACCAAAAAGGAATGGAAAACTCCTTACATCATTGCGCTGCTGATTGTGGGATTTTTCTTGATCGTTGGTTTGGGATTCTACGAGTACTATGTACCCAAGAACCCACTCATGCCTCCCCGACTTTGGAAGAATGGTAATTTTGTGTGCGTCATATCCATCATGTGTTTTTCGTGGATGTCATTTAACGGATCCATTACATTTTACGCTATTCTATACTTCGAAGAGGTGTTGAAATACTCTCCATTGCACACAACAGCATGTTTCTTGCCTTTACCCGTGGCAGGAATCATGGTGAACATTTTTGCAGGTTTGACTCTCCATAAGATTCCAGGAAAATTTTTGGTTATAGTGGGTCAAATCGGCTTTTTGATTGCTGGCATTCTCTGGGCAACCCAATCGATCCACAGGTTGTACTGGTCCGGTCCATTTTTGTCATTTATCTGTTTGGTTATTGGAGCAGATCTAACGTATAATGTTGCCAATCAAGTGACTCTGTCAGCTATCCCCAAACATATGCAGGGAAAGGCTGCTGGTGTTTTCAACATGTCCATTCAGCTTGCAGCCTCTGTTGCTCTGGGTATAACATCAGCCATCGTCAGTGCCAGAAACCCCTACTATGGTACATCAGAGGAAACCAAGCATATTCCAGAATTGTTTGATGGATTTAAAAACGCATACTATTTCGCTATTGGATGTTCCTCAATATCGCTATTGCTGGCTGTGTTCGTGCTGAAGGTGGGCACAACTGGAAACGCGAAGGATCTGGAGAGGGAAATAGAGGAGAACAGAGAATTGGAAGATAGGGATACGACCAGAGAAGAGGTCATACAGGAAGAATCCAACATAGGCAAAAAGGAAGAAACCCTTTAGCTTTATTTTTGAAGCTACAGATAAGGCCAACTCGACCTCATGCGCACCAGGCTTGTTACTTGGCCACCACGCCTAAAATTAATTAACTTATTCGCCTAATCAACGTGATTAATCATGAAATATTGTAGCTTATGCGTATAAACTTCTCCTCAGACCATTTCGGTGAAAGGCTTGAACCCGTATACATAGCCAGGGATAAATCACGCAGGGTTTCACCATTTATGTACGCACAATTTGGGCTGCAGATGCGCGCGAGCCATAGTGGTAGAGCGCCATAGTGAGAGGCCCCACAGTGAGCAAATGAAAAACAGTGAAAAAATGTCTTTGAATTTAGCAAACTTTTTTGCTATAAGCGAAATGTACCGCAACAAACCGTGGTCTGAAACTATTTACTAAGCGTTGGGTATAAACAGTTGGAGCTTTCAATTTATGGAAGATACAGAGCAAAAAGGATTGGAGGTGGAAGAGGTAGATCTCGAGGATCAGAACCAAGCCGCATCAATCCTATCGCTACAACCCCACTCCTCAACGAAAGAGATTGAAATTGAAGTTTTTGACACTATAGACACAAATAAACGACCCAAGGCATTCAGATCGACTTTCCATGAGGTTATAGTGGTGGTAATTTTATCACTGGCCCCAGCCGCATCGTCCCTTGCTAACGGAGCGTACCAGATGTCCATGCCCGAAACAACGAGTCATTTTGGTATCAGTGGTGGGTCCATGGCATGGGCATCAGGGTCTGTCTTTCTGGGTTCTGGCTCGTTTGTTCTGCTGTTGGGTGGGTTGGCAGATGCTCTTGGTAGGAAGAACTCCATGATGATAGGGTATGCTGGATACGCTATATTTGCGCTTATAGGAGGTTTTATGGACAATTTCATTGCTCTTTGTGTGATGAGAGGGTTGCAAGGGATGTCTGTCGCAGCAGGAACACCAGCTGCAGCAGGTTTATTGGGAAGTACTTATAGATCTGGTCAGAGAAAGAATAGAGTTATGGCCTGTTTTAGTGCTGGTGCACCAATTGGAAATTGTGTCGGATTCACAGTTGGAGGAATATGCACACAGCTGATCAGCTGGAGGGCTATTCATTTTTTCATGACAATATTATATGGCTCGCTCGCAGTTGCTGCGTTCTTCTTCGTGCCCAGGGATAGGGCGATTGACTGGGAAAATTCACTCAACATCTTGAAAAAGATGGACATTACTGGAGCGTTCCTGTCGATGGCAGGATTCACCCTTTTGGCATTCTCTCTCACTGAAGGCGATGCTGCTGATAAAGGATGGAAGACGCCGTATGTGATTGCGCTATTGATTATCGGCGTCCTCTTGATCGTAGCTCTTGGAGTTTATGAGTCGTACATCCCTGAGAAGCCGCTGATACCGATGCAAATATGGAAAAGTAAAGATTTCACCATAACTATGCTGATCGTGGCAATGGGTTGGATAGAGTTCTATGGTGTTTTTACCTACTTTGGTATGCAGTACTTTGAGAAGGTCTTAGGTTACTCGCCCTTGAAAACCACTGCGTGTTTCTTGACCATGACTATCGTGGGCGTGGCTGCTAACATTGTTGTGGCACTCACATTTCATCTCATGTCAGGGCGTATGTTCATGATAATAGGAACTCTGGGCTTTCTGGGTGGTGCAATAGTATGGGAGACACTAGACATGCACAGATCATACTGGCTAGGTCCGTTTTGGGCTTTCACTCTCTCTGTGATTGGTGGGGATATTACATACAACGTGGCAAATATGGTGACTCTGAGTTCTGTTTCTCGAGAGTTGCAGAGCTCAGCTGCGGGTGTCTTCAATACCGTCATACAGTTTGCCGGGGTTATTGGACTAGCAATATCTAGTGCTGTAGTCGGTGCAAGGAACCCCTACTATGGCACTCCAGAGCAGTATGACCATATTCCCGAGCTATTTGACGGATTCAAAAATGCCTATTTGCTAGCCATTGGCTGCGGCTCCGTGGCAGTTTTCCTGTCATGCTTCTTGAAGGTGGGAAAATCCGGGGCACCTGCATGAGATGCATGTAAGGGCTTACCAAACAGATTTGAGAAAACCATAATGACAGCACTATCTACAAATATGGGATGACAAATGAAAGTTATGTATGTGAGAACATGTGAAAAGTGCGCTTACCACAAACTCTTGGATGAGAAGCTTGCCTCACATAAAGCAAATTCTAGAATCAATCTGAGATGGACATCACCTAACTCCACAATCCGATTGCTCCGCAAAGCACTGCCCTGAATACGCCCTTGCTTGCCACTAACCAACCAGGTGTCGGTTTATAGCTATTAGAATATTGGGACGTACAATTATAACGTGATGAGTTAGATAATAATGCACAACACGCTGAGCCCCTCTTTTATAAAAAAATCATCTCCAGCTCCCGAGCTCGGATTGCTGCACAAAGTGAGCTCACCTGTCAAATTTAACCCAGTCTGCTTTTGGAAAATAGATTGCTCAGCCTTTTCTATTTTTTTTTTCCTGCGATATCACAAAAAGCTTTAATCTTTTCCTCTTATTTTATTCTTATTTTATTCTCGCAAGAGCTCAAATACCTACAAGATGGTCCAGCTGTTTCTCGTTAACCCCAAACTCGAGCTCTTGGACTGCAACTCATGTCCGTCGCAGGATGCCTTGCAGTGCTCCGAGCAGGCGCATCAGACAGCACTGGAAAGGTACCAAAAGGTGGCAGACTTGGAAAGAGCAAATTCGTCCGCCCCTAGAAAGGCTACCCATACCGAGGTGGAGTACTTTAAGACGATAGCTGATTACACTGCCGCTGAGTACTACTACCTGAAGTGCTACAGAGAGATCAACGCGATCGCCGAGAAGCATTTCAGCAAACCTGAACTCACCATCGAGGACGAGAACAAAGGAATGGCCTTGCTTAATGAACAGCTTGAAAAATTCAAGCAATATGAAAAGGACTTGAAGAAGCTCAAGATGAACAAAGAACGTCTTTCGCGGAGATTGAAGCTCTCGCAGTAACGAAGGAATTGTTACCTCGTTACCATTGCTACTTGTGCCTGTATTTTTGAATTCCGGAAGGGGATCTGGTATTGCTTTCTTGTCTAAATTATTCTTAACTATACCTTGTTATCAATACAAAGCAGACGCTTTGTCACTGAGTATCAACGTATTTTGAAGTAGGGGCCTGTAAAATGCTGAGTTCACGGTGCCTGTAAATTTCACTTGAACGACTCACCTCTCGTCACTTGGCCCAAAGTGTCACTCCCTATATACGTCCATCCGCCAAACTGCTTCTGAACTGATTCACTGAGAAAGTCATCAACAACAGAATCAAGAGGTCTTTCACTGGTGAATTCGGAATCAAAATTTGAGGTATCTGTAGAGTCTTTCACAAGTGGTTTGTATGGCGGAATGTAACCTTTGACCAGAAGTTTGTTCCAGTCCACATCTGCGAAATAGGGATGGGTCTTGATCTCGTGCGTTCCGTTGTAGCCCAGTCTCTTAGTTGGATCGCGCGTAAGTAAACCCTTGATCAACGATTTGGTGCTAGTCTCCATGTCACTGGGGAAAACCAGCGTATCATTCAAGATCTTGGAATACATCTTATTCACATCTTCATCGTAGAACGGAGGCAGACCGGTAAGCATCTCGTACAAAAGTGTTCCCAGCGTCCAAAAATCAACCACCCGGGTATACCCCCTGTTGAGTAGAAGCTCTGGTGCCAGATACTCTGGGGTTCCGCAAAAAGTGTTTGTCTTCTGTTCAATCTTCATGTTCATCTTGCATAAACCAAAATCACAAAGAGCAATATGACCTTGGTAGTCCAGCAAAATGTTCTCTGGTTTTAGATCACGATAGATGATATTGAGATTGTGAAGACATTCAATCGCGCTGAGTAACTCTGAGATGTAGAATTTCGAGCGAACTGGCGAAAACCTCCTGGATTGTTGAAGATGATAGAACAACTCGCCCCCATTGATAAAAGAAAGAACCAGATACAGCTTCTCGTTAGACTGAAAAGCGAATTTGAGAGGAACGATGAAAGGGTTGTCCACCCTCGAAAGAACGAACTTCTCTGCAAGAGTGTGAGTGACTTCCATCTTTGAAACGATATGAGCTTTTCTGATAGATTTCAGAGCATAAATCTTGCCAGTATCCTTCTTCCTTACCTGCATCACTTTCCCGAAAGAACCCTTTCCTATCACCTTCAACAGGTCAAAATCTTTGATGCTTAGCGAGTGCTTCTCTTGTAGCTTGAAGTCTATGGTGATGTTGATGAAACCGGCATTCTTATCGGTGTATGGGTTCGTCAAGCTTATCCATCCGTGGTTAATTAGCCTTTTGGAGGTACCTTCCACGTTGAAGCTTTTCAGATTGACCTGCGCGGTACCAACCAGGATATCCTGGTTTTGCTCGCTTGTCTTACCCTCATCGGGTATCAACACCGACGGCAACCTTATGAAGAGCTGAATATTCATACTGTTCAAATGGTTGGAGACATCAAAAGCAGTCACATTGTTGAATTTCGGGTTCTGCAAGGTGTTTCCAATGGCATCGATGGCCTCTGTGTTATTGTCGAACTCAACGGTCATATACACCAACGGGGTCTTGACAGAACTGTCACCAGCAGGATTGGGAACTTGAACTAAGGCAGGTAAGCTCTTGGTGACCAAAAGCTCCAAGTCTTTCGTGTTGATCCCACTGGGAGCATTTGCAGCCTGAAGCAGACTGTCTATGTTGGATTCCATTGTGGGTATATCGATGTTCACTCCGCAAGATGCTAATCTCTCCAGCACAGGCTTCGTAATTTTGAGAGAAATCGGCAACCTGATGTCATTACCAGTATACACCTTCACTGTTAACAGTCCTGGTTTAGCATTTGACTTGGTGACAGGGGCTTGAGCCGAAGACTCATCAAGCACCGGGTCTGTGGTCGTGAGGTTCTTGGTGATAGTCTCTGGCGTTATATTCAACTTTTCCAAGTCATTAGTAATGGACTTCGCAGTGGCACTCGATGTGGCAACAGTTTCTAGCTTCTGCTCCAAGGGTTCTGGTTTCGTCTCTTGTTGGGACTCCCCATCCGCCTCGTTGGTGTTAGTAAAAGCACTCTCGCTGTTTTCATCTTCTTCGGTATCGTCACCGTTAATATATGTTGTGGATCCCGAGTACTCTGAACCAGGAATGTAGGCAGCTGGTGGCTTCGAAGGAATCGAGTTCACCGGGTTGAGAGAAGAGGTGGCTGATAATGGGGTGTTGTCCTTAGATGGGGATTTGTTACTCCTCGAGAAAGGTGACGTGATGTGAGTGTCCTTCAACTTCTGCTTCCAATTAGAGATCATTGCAAGACTAATTGGAACAAATATAGCGTGTCCAGTTCAAAGCAGTCCGTGGGAAAAAGAGAAACGCGATAATGGACACAACAAAGTGACTGAGCATAAGCAGAATTCCAATAATAAACTTATCGCTAGATAGAGGCAGCTTAGCCTCCATTTGATCTGGTACACTACATTATGTGTGATAACCAAACACGGTGCCACGTGATACGAGGCTCCAAGCCCGGAAATACCCAGATGCCTGATTTTGCAGATGTAAACAACGCGTTCGCGAGATTCCCGTTCTTCTATTGTCAATCCTTTTCTCTGCGTATAGAGTTAAAAACCTTAGTTAGATCAAACAGATTTTCCGGGTTAATCGTCACGGTTGCGTCCATATATTTATTTCGTTTCGCTCATTGCTTTTTTGCTTCATCTTGGTTCACTTCCATATTCGCTTTTTTGCCAGCATGACCACCTCCACGATCGCAGCTCAAGCAGCTATGAATCTTCATAGAAAAGTGCCTCCTAGAGAGGTAGATATGGTGGCCGAATGCGTTGCGAAAGCAAACAACAGGCTCTCCCAGTCGTCTACAAACACCACCAACTCCTACAAGAGACGGTCCCAGAACCACGTTGGACCATGGAGGCTTGGTAGGACTTTGGGCAAGGGAGCTTCTGGACGGGTCAGACTGGCCAAACACACTCAAACCGGCCAACTTTCCGCCGTCAAAATCGTGCCAAAATCCGTGATATCAAACGGAAATAATTCCAAGCAGAACACTGAGAGAGACTCCAACGGCCTGGCATACGGTATAGAACGCGAAATAATCATAATGAAGCTGATCTCGCACCCTCATGTGATGGGACTCTATGATGTGTGGGAAAACAAAGGTGAACTTTATCTTGTGCTAGAATACATCGAAGGCGGAGAATTATTCGACTATCTGATTCGCAAAGGTCGGCTTGACGAGAAGGAGGCTGTGAAATATTTCAAACAGATCATCAGTGGGGTCAACTATTGTCACCACTTCAATATCTGCCATCGTGATCTGAAGCCCGAAAACCTTCTTCTTGATAAAAACCACAACATCAAAATTGCTGACTTTGGAATGGCAGCTTTGGAGACCAAGGGCAAGCTTCTGGAGACCAGTTGTGGCTCGCCACATTACGCTTCGCCAGAGATTGTGGCTGGCAAACATTATCATGGCGGTCCTTCAGATATTTGGTCGTGTGGTGTTATTCTGTTTGCGCTGCTCACAGGGCATTTGCCTTTTGATGATACCGTCATCAGGAACCTGCTTTTGAAGGTTCAGTCGGGCAAGTTCCGTATGCCTCAATATCTTTCTGCCGAGGCCAAGGATCTGATCTGGGCAATGCTCAAGGTGAACCCAAGCGAGCGCATCAAAATGAAGGATATCTTGAAACACCCTCTTTTGAAAAAGTATTCCACCAAAGAAGACCAGATCTTGGATAAGTTTAACCACCCCGAATCGCTGGATGCCTCTCCCATTACGGATATTGATAAGGACATCTTGCTTAATCTTCAAACTTTGTGGAGAGGAACTGATATGACAGATATACGGAACAAGCTTAGGGAACAGGGCTTGAACTCCCAGAAAATCTTCTACAGGTTGTTGCAAAAGTACAGAGATGAGCATGCTTCTGGAACGGGAACCACTAACAACTCTTCAAAGAAAAGAATCCCCAGGTCGGCATCTATTGTCACAACAATCATTCATGACGAAAACGGTGGTCATTCTAAAACTGTGAAGGAGGTTGTCGTTCCTTCAGAATCCAGGAGGCCGATAAAGAAGAGATCCAAGAACAGTCTAAACGTTGAGCATGGCTTGCCTTCAAAGCAATCATCCAAGGTGATCCCTGCTTCTTCTTCTTCCAAAAAGCCGGTGAGCTTCAAGGGCAAGAGCATATCCTCGCATTCGTTGGTGTCAAAGAAATCTATCCAAAGTATGCGTGGCAGTGTCAAACCCCCTTCAAGGGATTTGCCCAAACTCCCAGAACTGTCAGACTTTCAATATCTATGCGATGAGATCTTTGGAAAGCAATCTGCTACTGGCTTTAAAATCTTCCAGGATGAGGAGGAACCCGTTTCAAAGCCAGAAATTCTCAGACCTGAGCAGGAAATACGGAAACTACAGCCGAATACAATGAAGATCTCAATGGACAAACCTGCGGTGAAGGAGCTTCACAAGAAACCTTCTTTGCTGGCAGCAACCAGAGGTCAAGGTGCAAAACAGGGCTTGAATACATATGTGTCGTCGCTAGATCCGAGAAGCTCCTCCAAACCGACTGTCAACCGTAATACCTCTGATGTTCTCAAAAAGTTTGGAGTTCGTATGAGTCGGTTAGATTTGGATGAGTCTGAGTTCGGCGATAAACTCGGTGGTTTGCCCAAAAGCTCAACTTTCAAGAGAAGCATGGTTGTTTCGAGGTCGACGTCCACTAGAAAGCTGAATACTCTGATCAACCAACGGGACATGTCTGTGGATGATTACAACAGGACTAAGGACGTTGACAGTGGACACAATGACTCTACCAATATGTCGGTGGACTACGAATCGTTCACATTCTTGTCTGCTAAGCAGGTTCCCATAATATTGCCTCAAGACAAGCTGACAGGACCAAGCATAGACGAACGATTTGCAGACGTTGATGAGGACGAGACTATTTTGGACAGAGAATCTCAATCAAATAGCTCCGAAATCAGGCATCACCGCAAGGTCGAGTCGGTATCAACAGCAGCTTCTGCTGTAGAGATTCAGCCTTTTCCCGTGGCTCCACAGGTTGATGAAGATGTACGCAAATCGAAGCGGATTCAGTCCAGAAAGGTGAGAGAGTCCTTCCAAAGCGAGAACAGACTATCAAGATTTGCATATCTTGGGTCCTTCATTGACGAGGTTGAGGTGGAATCCGTGGCCTCTATGTTTGCGGACCCAGATGAAGAATACGAGGATATACATTATGACGAGGATTCCAATAGAATGAAGTTTCTGCAAATCGCTCAAAAGATGTCAGGAGAATCTGGCGACGAAGAAGATACTGAGCACATTGACAAAGACATCCAAGCCAACGAGCAGGAAGAGGGTGAGGTTGCTGATAAGGTTGATGAGCTTGTGGGAAGACCGAAGCCAGATCTGCCTCAGACAGACTTGCGCCGGAGATCCACAATTTTGAAGACGAAAGATAGGATATTATCGCTGGTGCCCAAACGTGAGGCTCCAGAATTACCTTCACGTGTGGATGTGTCTCCCATGGA